GCATTCCTGTCTTTTTTTGAAAAGCAGACTATCACAGCAGTTTTGCACACTACCTCTGAAACCAGACTACTCATGTCCAAAGCCCACCCACCTCCACTCTTTAGCAAATGTGTGAGAGCCACTTAACATCTCTGAGCTATGCACCAGGGCCAAGATCACAGCTCTATGACAAGGCACTGGAGACCTCCTTTGGGTCCACTCTTATGTCAGGGCACCTCCTCTTTCTTCACTCCTGCCACATTGACTTTCATTCATTTCTTCCAACCTGCCAAATGCTTCTGGCCTCAGAGTATTTGCATATCTTAATTCTTTGGTGAGTGATGTTCTCTGCCTTCCCTAAACCTTCCTCTAGATAATACCTTCAGATCTCAGGTCAAATGTGTCCCTTCTTCAGGGAAGCCTTTGCTGACTCCCCAACCTAGACCCAGGTCCCTACTCTTCGCTTCCCCTGTATTGGACTTTCATTGTGCCGTCACAGGCTGCGACGATGTGGCTCTCTATTTATTAGATTGCTGTCTGACTCCCTCCTAGACTCTAAGCTCCATGAGGACAGAGACGGGGCCCTTTTGCCCCCCATTTTATACCCAGCACTGAGCTTGGTTCACAGTAGACATTAAACAATAATTTAACTTGTCTATAATAGAAAGTGATCATCTGAAAAATCACAGGGGTTACTCTATATGTTTCAGATGCCTTTACAATTCAGATGGGGACTTCCTGATTGGTGAGTTCTGATTTCAGACCCCTTCCCTGTTAATTGATCCCTAGTCACAAGCTGCTTTTAACATTTGATGCAAATTATTTTCCCTCATCCACCAATTTGTCTTTATTTCACTCAGTGCAAGATACAGACTCAGATCTAGAGGCCACTGGTGGTCCAGAAAGATTACTAGTATGTTTCAAAGCCCCTACTCTATTTCCTAGTGTTTCTGTCTTTGCCCATCTCTTCTGGGTCTTTCTGATGGGAGAACTCTAGTCAGTCAAAAAAATTAGAGTACCAACATGTGATTAATTTATGAAGAAAATGAGTTCTATTAACTATTAAGTATCTATTTGCCTTTAAGCTTACCTTAAAAAATACCACCTATCATTAATAATTGCAATGTAAATAAAAGTTTTTATGAGATCATTTAAAATATGTCTATGATGGTTGAGTCTGCCTATTCTAATATCTGATTTTAGTACAGATATTTTGAAGTCAATGTTTATAAACATTGTACATGCAAATGCCAGCTTTCTGTTGGCTCTATCAGGAATGGGTGATTTTCCATACTATTCTGCTGCCCTTTTTGGTCAATTCATAGAATTACCCATAAATAAGTTCCTTACTTGGCAAGCAAGAAGAGTAGAGTCATATTTTTTATTCACATTCTTTTAGGTAGTAAAATGGCTAACCTAAGTCATCAGGATATATACATTTTCCCCTAAGAGACTCAGTAAAGCTCTTGTCATTTGGAATGAAAAAGCAAATGTAGCCTTTAAGCCTGTAGTCTTCATAAAATGGTTCTCAAAGAAAAAGCATTGCTCACCACTGCCCTGACTTTTTTTTTTTTCCTTTGCCAGTTCCCCAGAAAGGGAAACTTCTCATTTACACCGAGTTTGGCAAGATGCTTGTGCAGCCCAATGATTCATAGAATTACCCATAAATAAGTTCCTTACTTGGCAAGCAAGAAGAGTAGAGTCATATTTTTTATTCACATTCTTTTAGGTAGTAAAATGGCTAACCTAAGTCATCAGGATATATACATTTTCCCCTAAGAGACTCAGTAAAGCTCTTGTCATTTGGAATGAAAAAGCAAATGTAGCCTTTAAGCCTGTAGTCTTCATAAAATGGTTCTCAAAGAAAAAGCATTGCTCACCACTGCCCTGACTTTTTTTTTTTTTCCTTTGCCAGTTCCCCAGAAAGGGAAACTTCTCATTTACACCGAGTTTGGCAAGATGCTTGTGCAGCCCAATGAGATCTGCGTCATTCAGGTTGATAATGTGTCCCCTTCTCTCTGCTTCTCCCTAATTTGAGAGCCATCAGATGTTTCAGCTGCTGCTATTTCCAACTCTAAAATTTCTCTGTCATGTCTGGGAAATGGTGAGGGAGTTTGCATTATGTGGAAGGTTCCATGTACCAAAGGGGGAGCAGGCTTGGGCACCTGCTTTGTTTAATATACCACACAATCGCAAAGCAGAGAGCACTTGCCATTTTACTTTCCTATTTATAAGCACTCTAGAAAAGGCTCCGTTTATACTGATGGTGGAGAGAGCAGTGAAGGTGGATTTTTTTTTTTTTTAACTTGGTTCAATTGGGGTCTATGTTTAGCTCTAAACTTAATGAGAAATCACACTAATATTGGCTTGGGTCACAGATGTGATTCGAAGTTAAGGTTTTCTTTCTAACACATCATCCATCTGGTGGCCTCTCAAATATAGCTCAACAAACTATAGCTTTACTTCTTCATGTGGCTCTGGGTGGCTTCTTTGTAACTAAAAATATGGCTTGAGAGAGCATCTCAGTGTCTGCTTCCCATTCCAGAGAGGGATGCGCTTCAGCGTAGATGTCTTCGAGGAGACCAGGGGCTACATCCTGGAGGTGTACGGCGTCCACTTCGAGTTACCTGACCTGGGACCCATTGGTAAATCTTCACTACAAATCTCTAAACCTTACTTGAAATATGGGACACAGATAATCCCCGCCCCAAGTTAGAAATCCTCTCCCCTCACCAGTTCACTCAAACTTCAACTTTCCTCTAGACAATTTCTTCTCTAGAACAAGTGCCTTCCTATCAAACGCATACATAACAGAAAATGAGCTGAACCACTGTACACATTTTTCTCCGGAAGAGTAGACGGACCATTGGAGATAAATGCATGTGATGAATTTCTGGGATATAATGTGTATGATGAGGGCTACAGAAGTTTGGTTTCCTGTGAACCGGAGTCACAGGAGAGGTGAGATGTGAGTACTTCCTGATGAAAAGTTGTGAAGAGAAAAAGAAGCAGCTTTAGCTGGAGGATACAAGTGGGAATGAGCTTTGTGACCAAATCATTTTACGTCAACAGGTTGGGTGCAGCCGACGAAGTGGGGGAAGCCATGAAAATAGCCAGGGCTCTATTACGATGGAAAAGGGGAACAGGCTGAGTGATACAGAGCCCACAACCCTCACATTCCTACTGAGTACACTCCACAAAACCCAGAAATGTCAAAGAAGGTACAACTCTCTGTGCTGTGAAGGAACTGGAAACCACAGCCCCACCAGGCAGTTTAGAACTTTCCTCAGAGTGAACCGAGGTCTCCTAACTCTTTCTCTGGCAATCTGGAGGCAGGAGACACGGGAGAGAAGTGCAGTTGTTAGGAGGAGTTTTCAAAACATTTCTTTTAAAATTTTATTTATTTCCTTCCTCCATGAACAAGACAGAGAGTCAGAGAGACAGAAAGAGACAGCACCTCCAACAGGACCCCAATGTCACAATCCACTCCCAGCCAGCCCTGGATCACAGGCACTTGTGTGGCCTAGCATATTCAGGGAGGTCTTGGCAGGAGCCCAGAACCTTCCCACGTGGGTCAGCTGGTGGTGTTACCTCTGTGCAACCCCTCAGCACACCTCATGGGATAAAGAGTGGCTGGGAAAATTTTTCCTTGGTTCATCTTTGACCACACTTCCGAGTTCTTTCCTTCCCGTCAACAGCTTTTTTGAGCAAAACAGGGACAGGCCAGCATGTGCCTTCTGGTCACTCCCCTAGGAGATCCAAATATGCAGAGGAAAGTGGGAGGCAGAGAGAGGCAGCTGGAGCATGGTGGGCCGTCTGTCATCCTGCTCACCACCCACTCTCCCCACTTTGCTCTGGCTTCCTGCTGCCCTGCAGCCGGCAGAGCCTCCAGGTTCCATGCAACTTGTACCCTCTGGAAAAGATCTACAATTTACTAACCAGCTGGGGACTTGTGTTTTTTAACCCCAGGAGCTGGAAATGAGAAAAACACTCCCCAGGTTTCTCCTCTCAGAGTCAAATTATGTTTTTGCACTTAAGTTTTTCATTCTGGGTCTTTCGATTTATTTTCTTTCCCTGGAAGAAAACTCTCGCAAAGGTAAGCAGCAAGTCCTGACTGCTTTCTGCCTGAGTGATTGGCAGGCAGAGAGTAGTTTTTTGTTTTAAGAATGATTTTTATTCAATTTTTTAAAAAAAATGTATTTCTTTATTTCAATTTGACCAGAGAGGGACAGAGTGAGAGAGAGAAAGAAAGTGAGAAAGCAAGCCATCAGGTCTGGGACTTGAACCATGGCCAGCCATGTGGAAGTCCAGTGCCCCTAATCACCATGCCACCTGCCGGCCCCCAGAGAGTAGTTTTACAGATTGATTCTAAGTTCTGTCTACAGAGCAGAGGCTGCGTGGAAAACACATGTACCTTTTCCTACCTGAGATCAAGGGCTGTAGATGGGTTCTACTCATGAAATTCCATCAGACCTTCTCTCTTCCTCTTTCCTTCTCCCTTCCCCTCAGGTGTAGTGATGAGATAATGCATGTGAAATATTGTCGGGACAATATGCAAAAACGCACACGCAAAATTGTGTCATGACTTTCCTGATGACCTACTAGTTCTGTAAAAAAAAAAAATAGTCACTCCACAACTTTAGAAGGTGATGCTGGTAATGACAATGATGATTTTATTCATGAATTTTATTCTTACTAAATTCCTTGGGTCCTCCTCAAAAGGTACCAGACCGGGAACCCAGGGAGTCGTTGAGCAATGAAAGCGATTTGTGCCTTCTCTTGTGCAACCACGGGCAGTTTTCCGATGTGATTTCAGAAGCGTCTAAAAGACTACAGAGTGAGAGAGAGAAAGAAAGTGAGAAAGCAAGCCATCAGGTCTGGGACTTGAACCATGGCCAGCCATGTGGAAGTCCAGTGCCCCTAATCACCATGCCACCTGCCGGCCCCCAGAGAGTAGTTTTACAGATTGATTCTAAGTTCTGTCTACAGAGCAGAGGCTGCGTGGAAAACACATGTACCTTTTCCTACCTGAGATCAAGGGCTGTAGATGGGTTCTACTCATGAAATTCCATCAGACCTTCTCTCTTCCTCTTTCCTTCTCCCTTCCCCTCAGGTGTAGTGATGAGATAATGCATGTGAAATATTGTCGGGACAATATGCAAAAACGCACACGCAAAATTGTGTCATGACTTTCCTGATGACCTACTAGTTCTGTAAAAAAAAAAAATAGTCACTCCACAACTTTAGAAGGTGATGCTGGTAATGACAATGATGATTTTATTCATGAATTTTATTCTTACTAAATTCCTTGGGTCCTCCTCAAAAGGTACCAGACCGGGAACCCAGGGAGTCGTTGAGCAATGAAAGCGATTTGTGCCTTCTCTTGTGCAACCACGGGCAGTTTTCCGATGTGATTTCAGAAGCGTCTAAAAGACTTCTGGGGTACTGTGTTCTAGGAGCCAACGGCTTGGCCAATCCTCGTGATTTCTTGATACCTGTTGCCTGGTATGAAGATCGTCAAGTTCCAGGTGGTTACACTGTGATTAATAAATACCAGGGCAAACTGTTTGCTGCAAAACAGGTAAAGTAAGAGTGTGGGTAGGCAGGGGAAGGAATGAACAGTTATTCAGCACCTCCTGATTGCCACGGCCAATGTTAGATTCTTGATATTGTATCCTGTTATCTGTACCATACCACTATCTCACTACAAATAAGCTACTCTGTGCTTTATTTGTAGTAATAAAAACAGTCCAGATACTGGTAAGTAATTGATGTCACAGTGAATAGCAGAACCAGCATTCGAGCCATATGTTTGACTCCAAAGGTTGTGCTCAGACCACTCACCAAGCAATGAAAATCCTAGCAACACGTAGGTCTCTACAAATGGTGAAGAAACACTACACAGGGAGTGTAATGTATTCTGAAAGGAAAATGAGTTAGCAAGCAGATCAGCCAAGATTTATATTTTCCAATAACCACCACATTTCAAATATAAGCAATGATTCGGTACAAAACTAGTAGAGCTCAGTTAATTAGGTTGGCTTGGTTTATACCACTTGCTTGGTATGCTCAGAATTTAAGTAAAGGCATAGATGATAAAAATAATATGGGGGCCAGCAGGTGGCGTGGTGTTTAAGGCAGCTAGACTCCCACATGGCTGACCATGGTTCAAGTCCTAGGCCTGGCAGCTTGCTTTCTCACTTTCTCTCTCTCTCTCTTTTTCTCACTCTCTCTCTCTCTCTCTGTCTTTCTCTGGTCAACTTCAAAAAAATAAAAAATAAAATAATGACAATGAATAAAATTAAATAAAAAATAATTCTTTAAAAAATTTAATAATAGTAATAATAATACAGCACAGCCATAGTAGCACTCAATGCTACTTAGCAGGCTGAGGCCACACAGGAGGCCAGGGTTCGAGTCTCAGACTGCTCTGTAAAGCAGGGCCAGGTTGCACTGCCTGCAGTTCCAGCTACTCAGGAGGCTGAGGCAGGAGGATCAAGACATAGTGAGACCCGGTCTAAAAGCACAACATTGTATGTAATCTATAATATGATACATTACTATATATTGTGACTTAATATACATAAGATATATTAGAATAAAATAATTATAATGAAAAGAACCCAGTGATCACTTTCGTTTACCATTATTTGTTCACTTTATTTTGTCTATTTGACTTATGGCTTATATTTGCATACTGTTTTCCCTGGACGGTATCCAGAGGCATGCCAACCACAGAGGTAACCCATTTGGGCACTTAAAATTAATTAATCCCTGAGGCAGACACATTGCCATCTGTGTCAGACTTCTCAAAATGTGGTTCAGGAACCAGGAGTATCAGAAATCCTCAGGAAGCCTTGTTTGAAATGCAAGTTCTTAGACACTATACCAGTCTGGCAAAAATGATAACCCCTGGGGATGGTGCGTGGAGATCTACATTCATTTTAAGTGTGATCCTCAGATTATTTTTTACAAACAATAAATAGAGGTGCCAGCAGCTCTTCTACATAGGTTTCCACTCGAGTGGGCCCTGTGCTGGGAGTCCCACTGATCTGCTCCTCCTTCTTTACCACAAGCTGTGCTCTGGGAGGTTGCCTCTAGGGACTGAATCATACTGGCTCCCAAGCCAGCTGGCTTCTGGTTGGATCCAACCTGCAGAAAATTGGAGAGCAGGAGGAAAAGCAAGTTAGGATACCTCTTTCCC